CCGTTCCTTCTGGCTGCCATCAGCAGGGGCAGGCCCGCTGGGTCGGTGAGGGGGACTGAGGACGAGGCCTAGACGGACGCCCGCTCCGGAGAGCTCTCAGCCTGGCTGCTCCCGTGAGCCTGCAGCCTGCCATCCATCCCACCTACAGGTTCCCCGTTTTATGCAGAGTCATGATTTTGGAGGATGGCTCTCAAAAGAGATGGGTGTCCAGGGCGTGATGGGGAGGAGGAGGTATAACTAAAGGATGACAGCCCCTTCCCTCCGTGAGGAAGAAGGTGAGCTTGTCCACTGCATCAGTTGACAGTTGCTTGGTAGAGAGTTCGGTGATGGGCGTGTTCCTCCCGACAGATTGGAGCACCCCTAGAAAATGCAGTGTTAACCTTGGAGGTGATGGCAGATGGTGGCGTGCTTCAGGAAGCTTTCCTGCCGAGTCATCACGTGTTTCTGCGTTTTCTTTTGTCTCGGCAGTTTGGTGACTCTTATTCGACATCCATCTGAGTTAATGAACGTTCCTCTTCATCAGCAACAAAACAAATGCACAGCGTTAGTGAAAAACAAGACCGCCGCCGCCGCCACGACTTTGCAGCTCACCTACCCCCTGTTCACTGCGAACGCCTGCTCCTCTGGAGGGGGCACCAGCCTCTCTCAGACTCAGGTGCAGAAAGTGGCTTTGTTGAGTGACCTTAACCTCTTTACTTAGGTCCTTTCATTGATTTTCTTAACTTTTTCAAATAGATAGCATTTGTGGCTTAGTTGGTTGGAGTGTTATTCCATCCAGCCAAAGGTGGCGGGTTCAATCCTGGTCAGGGCAGTGTCAATCCCCGGTTGGGGCATGAGTGGGAGTGACCGATTGCTGTTCCTCTCTCACATCGATGCTTCTCTCTCTTCCTCTCTCTAAAATTTAATACAAAAAGAAACAACATATAAAATTGAGAGCATTTATGTGGTTAGAGAATTTTTTTTATTTTCAAAGTGTTACAGGTCTCGGCACCACTGTAATAAAATTACTGTGATAGAAGCATGGTCTGTGTCTCAATGTAGCCACATTAACAAATTGGTTAGGGAATTTTCAAAAGTCCTCTGTGACCTAAGCTCTTCATGTTGCATGTTAATAGCTTTGACGTCGCTGCTGTTACCGCGTTGTATTTGTACAGGAAAGAGAAGGCGCATAGTGATCAAGTTCCCGTTGCTTCATCTTTTCCAGAGTTCTAATAACTCCTGTTCTGTACTGGAGGCTGCCAAACATCAGGATATTGGATTGCCGAGAGCATTTTCTTTCTGTTATCAACAAGAAATTGAATCCACGAAGCAGACTTTAGGTAGTAGAAACAAAGCTTTGCCTGAGCAGGTTTGGATTAAAGTGGGAGGTAAGCCACCAAGCGGGAGGGAGCAGGCACTTCTGTCTGACCTCTGCCCTCCTGTCCTTGTGGTCTTTCGGGGGCGGTGGTTTATGAACATGACCGTCTTGGAAGTGTCCGTATCTCAGGGCTTCCATCTTCCCCTAGGGCAGTGATGGCGAACCTATGACACGTGTGTCAGAGGTGACACATGAACTCATTTTTTTGGTTGATTTTTCTTTGTTAAATGGCATTTAAATATATAAAATAAATATCAAAAATATAAGTCTTTGTTTTACTATGATTGCAAATATCAAAGAATTTCTATATGTGACACAGCGCCAGAGTTAAGTTAGGGTTTTTCAAAATGCTGGCACGCCGAGCTCAAAAGGTTCTCCATCACTGCCCTAGTCACCTCACTTTCAGCATTTGCCCGAATTAGGCATCATGCTTACAGTTGGTATGGAAACATTGCGTTCGGGCTGCTTGTTCTTAATAGTAAATACCCTAACACAAAAATGATAGACTTATATAGAGTTTCAGTTACCTTCAAGTCACCAAAGCACATAGGCTTGTTTGTTTGTATTTCCCTTGTGAGTAAGGCAAGGCCTGAAATCTGCTAGAAGCTTAGGAGACGGTCCGTGGGTGGGCAGAGGCCTGAGTTGGAGGCAAGGAGCCATAAGGTGATGTAGAAACAGACACGGCTGAAGGCAATTTGGCTTTTGTCAAACGTTAGCTCTTACCCCTTTCTCCCTGGAAACAAATTGGTTGCAGGTCACCCACCACAATAACACAGCTGGCACTAAGCTTTCCGAGAGCTGTGAACACCAGATGGGGTGGAGGGCTACTGCTTTCTCCCGTGGCAATAACTAATTTTTTCCTTGTTTTTATGACACAAAAGTATATGTTAACATTGGTCAGGTGTGAAGGTTAAGATTGAAATAGCTCCTGTACTGCTTACTCAGCTTAAGGAATAAAACATTACCAATGCCTGTGAATTCCCTCTGTCCAATATTCTGAAATGTGGTGATTCTTTTGAATGTGGCTTTATGTGGCTTGTCAGGATGCACGTCGCCACACACACCAGTTCGGTGTCTGCTGCTCTGTGTAGGTGGGAACATGACGTGTTTTTGTTGCTCTGATGTGATTGCTCCTCAGGGGGGAGGGATCTCTTGTAAGGTGAGCGTGAGTTGAATCTTAAACCACTTAGCATTTGTCCTCACTGAGAAATGCAGTTGTCATATTAGAACTAGTGGCCCATTAAAAGGGGATTAATTAGAGGAAATATTTTAATATTGCTATTTGCCTTTTCTCTATAATAGAAGTGTCAGAGATGAAAGAAAATTAGTAAAATGTATATGAAAATCTTCCTGCTGTCAGTCTGGGGTGCACCGTGGGACCCAGAGTTAAGTCCCACCCACCCACATGTGCCTCAAAATCACGTGAGACCCAGACCCAGCTGCCCCCTCCCTCATTGGGCTAGATCCAGACCCAGCCGGTCTCACCCTTGTCAAGCCTCGCTGGGTAGGGGGCGCAGCCTGGCGCCAGGGCAAAGGGGTGCAGCCTGAGGTCCCCCGGCCCAGCACCAGGGCAGGGGGTGCACCTTGAGGTCCCCTGTTAAGCCCCGCCAGGGTGGGGGGCAAGGCCTCAGGTCCCCTGGCCCGGTGCCGGGGTGGGGGGTACGGCCTGAGGTCGCCCATCAATCCCTGCCCGGCAGGGGGCATGGCCTGAGGTCCCCTGTCAACCCACACGGGGTTGGGGGCGTGCAGCCTCAGGTCCCTGCTGATTGCTCCTTAAGGCTTGTTATGGGAACTCGCCTCAGCTGTGGGTGCAGCCATCTTTGCGGCGGAGCGATGGTCAGTTTGCATATTCCTGCTTTATTATATAGGATAATTCCAGCTTTCCCCCCCACTCTGAATATCAGAAAAATCAAATAACTTCTTGGTTGTTCATAGATGACAGTTAACGCCTGTTGATTAAAGGGGGGAGGGTTGGCAGGGCTATGCTGATTAACACTCAGCATGTTGTAATTTAGTTAGAGGTCTGTGCCTAGTTTTGTGTTTGGAACTAGGAGCTTGGAGCTGGCTGCTCACACAGAGTTGCCTTCGTGTCCAGCCCGTCCTCTTCAGGTCTCTGTGCTCCTTCCCCATTAATGTTTATGTCTTGGATTGAAGATGCCAAAAATGTATTCAGCATTACTGGAGGTAAGTTAAAAATAAATAATTAAAGTACCACTTTTTTCTTCTTTTGCAAAGAAGAAGCGCTGTGCAAACAAGCGATAAATAAGAGGAATCGGAGTAGGATACGTCAGTTGGACACCAGTGTGGAGCGAAGAGCCCTCGGAGAGATTCAGAACGTGGGTGAAGGTGCCACCACCGCCCAGGGCTCCTGGCAGTCTGCAGAGTCATCACAGTCTCATCTTGGGGAGCAGTCCCAGAGTGCCCCGGGCGGAAGGTCACAGCGCAGGGAAAGGCACAACCGCATGGAGAGGGACAGAAGGTAATGTGTGTACGTGGGACCGAGCTTTGGAGCATCTGTGGACACTTACTTTAGACACGTTAGTAATAACGGCACCTTGCCGTAAAAGCAGGAGTGGCTAGCCGTGTCTGTGTTCAAAGGCGGGGAAAGTTCACACGAGTAAATGTGGACTTTGCTCTGCTGGGTGGATTGGGGTCCCCAGCACTCCCAGACCATCCTGATTGATTAGAAAAGACATGGAAAAATTTGAGAAGGTGGGGGGGTGAGGGCAGGGCCTCCCAAGGGCTCTTCGCAGGGGAGCACTTCACTCCCCAGCCCTGAGTTCTTGGATGTGTGAAAGCTGTCTGCAGACTCCATGCCCGAGATTGTTTGGGGACCAGTCCTGTGGGCGTCCCCTGCCCAGCACACAGTCAGGCTCCAGATCCAGAAGGAAAGCCTGTGTTTCATGGAAACCACATTGTTTGTATAAACCACTTAGGCCAGTGGTTCTCAACCTTCTGGCCCTTTAAATACAGTTCCTCATGTTGTGACCCAACCATAAAATTATTTTCGTTGCTACTTCATAACTGTAATGTTGCTACTGTTATGAATTGTCATGTAAATATCTGATATGCAGGATGGTCTTAGGCGACCCCTGTGAAAGGGTCGTTCACCGCCAAAGGGGTCGCGACCCACAGCTTGAGAACCGCTGGCTTAGGCACAGGGAGCCTCTCTTAACTCACAATGGTGGGAAATCTGAAGTTCCCAGATGCCAGCCAGGCCAGCCTCACAGGCATGCCTTCCCTTCTGAGGCTGGGTGGCCTGCGGCAGTTCCTGCAGCCCTTGTCACCAGTTTGTCCTGGTTCCTTTAAGAATGTTGGGGAAGGAAGGGGTTAAAACTGTTAAGTCGTTTTGTCTCTACATATATTTGCAGATTCTGTGTAGAATCGAGGTGGTTAGTGTTTCTTACAGCTGGGGTTTTACATGGTGTTTTCTAACACAGAGTCAGTTAACGGAGTCATCCATTGAGCACGCGGGCCAGTTTTTGTTGTAGGCTAAGGAGGCGCAGCCCGGACCAAGACGAAGCCCATTGCGGGGCTGAGGCAGGTCACCCCTCTGAGGCAGGGATGGGGACCTTGTTTCTGCCCAGGGCCATTTGGATATTTGTAACATCATTCTCGGGCCAGACAAGATTATCAGCTTAAAAATTAGCTGCTACATTTGATCAAATATTTAACTCACCCCTCATGCCTTACAGGGTCAAACCGAATGATTTCGAGGGCATGATACGGTCTGAGGGCCGGGTTTCCCCACCCCTGCTCTAAAGGGATACAGTTAAGCCAGCCAGATCCCATGGACTGGGATGCACACACACCCTTGAGCTCACCAGGTGACAGAGCTTCTGTCTTCCGGCATTTATTTAGAGGACACTCACTGAGCACCTGCTCTGGGAAAACCCTCGCATGTTCACAGTGGAAGTTTCTACTCTCACTGCCATGTCCTAGTGTAACAGCCTTCCTTCCGCCAGCTCTTTCCATCCTGTCCTGTCTATAAGAGTTACTGTCTACCACGTAGGTTTACGTTAAAATTAAACAAGCTGATGAGGGGTGGAGAGCACCGCTAAGTGCCACCTGTGTTTACAAGGCCCGTGACATCCTGCGTGCTCAGCAGGGGACCAGGATGAGGGCCGTGCCCTGTGCATGGTTTAGTGTCAACTTAGGTCGGACTCCGCATGTCACTAGCCATATGTGTGCAAGTTACAGATGGCCTAGTCGTGACTCCCGCTGTGATTTGATTGGTCTCTAAGGCGGCCAGGTTTCCAGATATTAACAGACTGGTGTCTGTGGTCCTTTTTGAACCAGGTCCCTTGACGAAGTGAGGCTGGGATCTCCTCCTGGGCACACAGCGGGCAGCTTACTAACTGGAGGGAGAGGGTGACCTGCCCAATAAGTCACACGACACTTAGCTTCCAGTTTCAGAGGTTTGGGTCTGTTGTTGGTCTAGCCCAGTGGTCAGCAAACCGCGGCTCGTGAGCCACATGCGGCTCTTTGGCCCCTTGAGTGTGGCTCTTCCACAAAATACCACGTGTGGGCGCGCACG